GCGACTGTTCACACCCCTGCTTGTCCACCCCTTACCCGTATGTTGTTCTCTTGTCAGTTTTCAGATCTCATTACACTTGTTGTCTGATCGCATGTGCGCAATGCGAGATAGAATTATTTCATATATATACCGTCTGTATTATTAATTAAAATTATTAAATTGCCTTGATTGCCTTGTGTGAACACTTATAACATAAACAAAATGGTGATTTGCATCTTAACCTTTAACCACCATGATCGACATGTACACCCTGCACTGCTGGATTCGAGGTACCGAAATCCACGAAAGTTTTCATTTAACAATTTCGCCATTGGACACTGTTGATATTCTGAAAACCATGATCAAAGTTAATCAAGCTCTTGAAATGCCGGCATCCAAATTGCGATTGTACAAGTTAAATGATCCGGTAGCCGAACCATACGAGGCGAATCTGCGGAATATGACGCTATCAATGCTTGGGGTACCATTGATGCCATCGCATCAGATATCCACCGTGTTTGGAGGACCGCCCCCGAAAGGTCACATCCATATCATCTTAGGTATGTAATGGCTTCAATACCTTGGCCATGCAACCAATTACTTTCAATCCTTCAGATGCACCGCAACTCATCATTCATTGCTGGGTACGAGGTAGCCCTGCGCAGGAGGGTTTTGACATCTCAATCTGGTCACACTTGTCAATTGGAGCCCTTAAAGCTCGCATCAAGGAGGCCGAATCAACGCTGAAGCATGTAGACCAAAGTGGCATCAGCTTATATAGAATATCTGGATTGGAGGACGATGTTAGGGAGAGTCTAGACACCATGAATGCGGGTGACTTGCTCAATGTATCAGAATGGTCGCATTTATACCATTATTTCCTGTGCATGCCAGTTCTAGAGCAGCTCCGGCTTGTTGTTCAAGTTTGCTCTGAACCCAATCGTGAGTCGATCCATTATCTCATGGAATTGAATTTCACAAATTTGTGGATGGCAGGGTCGACGAATCCTCCTCGATCTATGCACGCCATCTCAGCTGGAGAGGATGCGATCCAAATCGCGCGGCAATCCTTCCTTGCCAACACCGATACGCATTTCACAAAAGGAGGAAAGAAACGATCGCAATCTCCTTCTGCGAGCTCCCATCCTTCATCCTTTCGTGTACGCCAGCAGGACCCAAATCTACAGATGGCCTGTGGTCGCCCTCGGGAGGTCGAGGAAACCATTCCTCTCACGTTGCTGTATCCAGCCTTCGGCCAATTTATCGATGACAGCCAATCTTGCACTTACATACCGACCGAAGAAGACAACAATTTCATCGGCAGCCTGGCCCATGTGATGTCGGCAATGTATGAGAATGAAGACCAGCGACGAGAAGCGGTTAGCAAGGTGCTCAACGGATACAACATTCGCTTGTCCTTGAACGGCAAGGTCCGTGGTACTCGATACATAACGGACGGAAACATGTCCATGACTGTTGATGACCGTTGTCATCCTTATGTGATTGTCGAATTCAAGAACGAGACGGCGGGTTCCGGTTCAGAACCTTACATACAGGCTGCTATGTACTACCTACAGGCGACCAGAACGTACGCGGCCACTCTGTCTGGGTCTGCCCTTCCCTGCTTTCTGCTTATCATTTTCGGTTAGTGTCAAGATCTCCTCTGTTGTAGAATATGACATAGGAATTGATCATTTATCCAGGACCAACCATTGTATTCGCAAGTGCTGTCTGGACGTTACGTCCTGTTATTCAGATTCTTTCCACCCCTATTTCCTTCAATTTCCATTCCTTGGATCGGTACAATCATGTCACCGCTGTGCGGCACATGGCTGCATTCCGCAAAGCTGTCCAAACCCTCGAGACGCATTATCAAACGCTACCTCATCATTCTGAACTTGTCAGCAAGCTATCCCACCCCACAATCTTCCCATATCCAACAACCTTTACATCTCTCGACGACAACAGCACCATCGCCTTCAAATATATGGAGCACTTCCATGAAAATGGGCAACAGTCAAAAAGACTGATCTTTTTCGGGACCCTGAACGAAGGGGATGCTCAGGTTCCGATCTGCATCAAATTCGTCCAAGAATATTCACGTGACGCTCATATACATTGCGCTGCAGCAGGCCTTGCACCAAAATTACGAGGATTCGAACAGCTTCCTGGAGGCTGGTACATGGTGGTGATGGACAGACTTATCGGTTATGACCAATTGGCCGACGTGGCAATTGGCGAACAGATCCCCAAATCTGTGTTCGATCGCCTCGGGGATTGCCTGAGGTCTCTTCACAGCGACAAGCTGGTCCATGGCGATATACGCGATACTAATATCATGCTCAAGACGGTGGACAGGACAAACATTATGATAATAGACTTCGACTGGGCTGGGGTAGAAGGCGTCGTGCGATATCCGGCATTCGTGAATTACAAGGATATACAAAGGCCAGATGACGCGAGAGACGGACAACACATCAAGGCAGCTCATGACGAGGCTATGCTGGGTTTTCTCATGGCGAAGAGGTCGCAGAAGTAGTCCTATAAGATCACATAGATAGAATACATACCCTCCGATACCCTACAACAAGTGGCTCGACTTCCTCCCATGCATCCTCATCATCAAAATCAGCATCTTGACCGGCTGTTCCTGAGCACATGTGAGAGTATGAATGACTGCTAAGCTGTCCTGAACTAGTCTTCTTGAGTGCAGGTGAAAAGTTGGCGAGAAATTAACCTGCTGAGATTGCGATGGAATACGACAAACAACCGTATAAGGGGCATTAGGGAACTTCGTACATGAAAAAAAAATGAGACTGACTGAGAACGTTACCCTGCTGGTTACATTCCAATTACTTACTTGGAAGATTGGCACCCATTGCCTTCTAACCAATTAGCGGTGTCGACAAGTTCGAACATGGTACATGTATAAGCAGCACCATCGCCATGCTTGAGGAGACATTTCGCGATGATTACACATAGCGTTATCAATGACCACAGTGCGAAATGTGACACAAAACACCTCCAAAATACGTACTACTTACTGTACCATCGTACACTGTCCTACTCATCTGGGCACTCTTCAGATTCCGCACGCGACGTAGAAACCTTTGACGCTTCCTCATCATCGTATTCATCGTCACTGCCAAACCTATCTGTAACCCTTATCAAGCCTGTTTCTCGGCCCTGCATGCCTACCCTAGCTATAAAGCACTGATCCAAGCTATAGTTGACACGCTGTTTGCGGACCCTATTGAGATCCATATACAGCCTTATTCCATTAAGGATAGTACTAGGTGGGAAGCACCGATGCTTGCCTGGGTGATGCCTTGATTTAATGTGACTATTAACTACCCACAGGGACGAACTTACGATGGTTTGGCTTGGCCCTATTCACCTTCTGTTCAGCGATCTCCCATAGCAACATGGATGCGCGTCCCAAATCATCCCACATGTATACGCTTTGCGGTGCGATGACTATGCGAGAGTCCTGGATAGAATTCCACTCGAGGAAGGATGCCAACTGCTTATGATGCTCGCGAAAAATGAGAACCTCCAGTGTTGGATGGTCCAGAAGGCGCCTGATCAATGATACGATGATCGGCTCTGTGCCTACCAAGGCCCCCCACAGAGCAAGGTGAGTGAGGCGAGGGAAGCATTCCAAGCGGACATGCTGAAGCATATCCTTGTTGTCGACATCAAGATGAGTGAGATGGGAGAAAAAAGCGGTGGTTGTGACTGAATCCTCTGTCAGGGTAATGCCCATGTGCATGTGAAGGACGGTAAGTGGAAGGGCATCCAGGACCGGCTGGAGAGAGGATAAGTCCTTAAGATCCTCATTTTTGATCTCCAATGCAAGGTTTTTGATTCCTTTGCAAAGGGAGAGTATCTGAATCGCTGTGATGCCCTGGATGTGTCCTTCGAGATACATGGCGCTGATGGACGTCTTTGCGAATGCCTCATGCATGTCTCTACAGCGTAGGCATTGCAGAAATAGTGCAGCCTCTTCTTCATCCTCAAGAACTACGGATTTATATAGCAAACTTTCGAACCTGCCATCAAATTATCAGTAAGATGGCAAGTTTCTGGCATCACTATGATCTCACCATCCATATGTCCACCTCGAAAATGTAATCCAAGATGCTGCGCTTGCTCTTGTCCGAGTGGCCAGAGCAAATACCTTGATGATGATCTCGATGGGAATGTTGCTGGACATGGTTGGTTGTAGATTGCCTCGTCTCAGGTCTTATTACATGCATATAACATGTGTTGTGTCAACAATGGTAAATAAATGACCCAAACAGTCACCGCGAGAGAAGGGTGATTTATTATATATTCATGACGTCGAATTTGTTCACAAATTTAAATTAATACATACACATTACAGAAAGACATAAAAAGACACACATAATCACGCATACACATAAGAAGAATATTTCGATGCACAGAGCAGTTGTGTCAAGAGCTATATGGCCTATATATTCCTCAATCATTGTCTAGTACTATATTTGAAGAATCTCCTTGTAATTCACCCATACAACGGGCAAGGACCTTCTTGCAAACGTGGATGCTCCTTCTTCAGGGGTGGAAAATCATGCAGATTTTGTTGAAGATATTAGTACTCAGGAATTCTATACCTGCGTCTTGTCAGACCGCATAATTTACTTAGCAATGGTCGAGGGTGATGGAGTATTTTCCAAAGTCAATTCTGGGCACACACCGAGACAAGATGCTGATTATGAGCCTGCCAAATCCTGGATACAAGTGCTCACTGCCTCTCTTGCGCCAAATGCCAGATACCACAATGTATTTGTGATGTGGCGCCAGAGAGGCAGGGAGGAATTCACTCTAACTGATGGCAGGTTAATATCAACTCTGCAGAATTTCATCCGACATTTGGTGCCAGGATGAATGAGCTGCCGTCTATGACAGCTAGCTCATCCATAATGCGATCATCGCCAGCAGCATTTCACAAGCAAGAGTCACGTTCTCCCTGCCCCTCTGGAGCATTATCACAGATACAGTGCAGCATCTGGTATGTGGCGTCAAAGAGGCAGGGAGGACTCGACTCTGAGATGTTGGATGCTCATAATCTCCTCTGCCACCCAGAATTTTGCGCCATAGAGGCAGATAGCACTGGACTCTGGGATGTGGGACGCTGATATCACCCCTGATACCATACACCAATTTTTGATGAACTTTGCAATCGATAATGATGGTGTACCCGTGGTAGCTTGGGGTTTGGGAGTCATCATATATACCGCGAGGAATAAGACACAGCACGTGATGTATTCTTGAGGGCCTGAAACCAGCTTGTGAAATGCTGCTGGGGCTGGTCGCAGTGGTATTAGCTGACTGTCATAGACGGTAGCTGATTCATCCGGGAGCCAAATTCTGGATGCAATGATGCAGAATTCTGCGCCTACTCCGTGAAATTCCATGTGCAGGCGGCCAACCCCGACCTAACTCACCTTGTCCCCACGTTTGAAGGACTAGGAATCTTCAGTGAGGAGGATCTCATTCCCGAGCACCTCAGCAGATTTGTCCGACTCCTCCGTGCCATTACATGCAAAGGAAGGGAGTATGTATCTATTTCGTCAGGAAAACCCTGAAAATAGCGCAATTCCCTGCACCTCAGCAGATTTGTTGTACCCACAGCATGGGTGATATTTTCTTGAGGTCCTGACACCAGCTGTGAAATTCTGCTGGGGCTGGTCGCAGTGGTATTAGCTGGCTGTCATAGACGGTAGCTGATTCATCCGGGAGCCAAATTCTGGATGCAATGATGAAGAATTCTGCGCCTACTCCGTGAAATTCCATGCGCAGGCGGCCAACCCCGACTTAACTCACCTTGTCCCCGCGTTTGAAGGACTAGAAATCTTCAGTGAGGAGGATCTCATTCCCGAGCACCTCAGCAGATTTGCTGTACCCACACCATGTGATATTTTAATGTGGACCTGAAACCAGCTGGTGAAATGCTGCTGGCGCTGGTCGCAGTGGTATTAGCTGGCCGTCTTGGACGGCAGCTGATTCATCCTGGCGCCAAATTCTGGATGCAATGCTGCAGGAATATCCGACTTCTCCATGCCATTCCATGCGAAAGAAGGGAGTATGTATCTATTTCGTCAGGCAAACCCTGAAAATAGCGCAATTCCCTGCACCTCAGCAGAATTGTTGTACCCACAGCTTAGGTTATGTCTTCTTGAGGGCCAGACACCAGCCTGTGAAATTCTGCTGGTGTTGGTCGCTTGTGGCTGTCACTCCTGCTGCATTGCATTTGCAAAGTTGCGCCAGAGAGGCAGAGAGCACTGGCCCCTGGGATGTGTGACGCCCATATCACCTCGGATACCCTACAACAAGTTTTGACAAACCCTGCAATCGATACAGATGGTGTACCCGTGGTAGCTTGGGTTTGTCAAGTCATCATATCTATTGAAAGGGTGGGTTATAAATCTCGTCATACTCACTGAAGTAATCTTCCAGATATGATATATGGGATGGATCACCTCTGCCGCCTGGACTGTGGTGCCAGAGAGGCAGGGAGCACTGAACCCTGGGACGTGGTACGCTCATTGTCACCTCTGCCGCATTACCACATCCTGCAGCTCAGCAGAATTGTTTTACCCACAGCATAGGTGATGTTTTATTGCGGGCCAGACACCAGCTTGTGAAATTCCGCCTTTCCAGCACCACATTCCACATGCAACATCCTCCCCATCAATTCTCTCTCGAACAAATCTTTCCTCAGCGCAGGAGGCCATGACTTCACAACAACGAGATCCGTCTCGTTGCTGATTCCTAGTCCTTGCTGTGGGGCAGGAGTGATATCAGCATGCCACAACCAAGAGTCAAGTGGTCCTTGCCTCTCTGGCGCCACATAAGAGATACAGCAGCATAGGTGATATTTTCTTGAGGGCCAGATACCAGCTTGTGGAATTCTGCCTTTTTGGCGCCACATTGCAGATGCAATGCGGCAGAGGTGATATGGGCGTCCCACATCCCAGGGGCCAGTGCTCTCTGCCTCTCTGGCGCCACTTTCCAAATGCAATGCAGCAGGAGTGATAGCCACAAGCGACCAACACCAGCAGAATTTCGCAGTCTGGTGTCTGGCCCTCAAGAAGACATCACCTAAGCTGTGGGTACAACAATTCTGCTGAGGTGCTGTCACTCTCCGGCATTGGATCTGGAAAGTGGCGGGATACAATGCTCGCTATTTCTGGCGCCAGATTCCTGATGTAATGCTGCAGGAGTGATATCAGCGTGCCACATCCCAGAGTCAAGTGCTCCCTGCCTCTCTGGCGCCACATAACATATACTGCAGCACAGGTGATGCTTTCCTGAGGGCCAGACACCAGCCTGTGAAATTCCGCCTATCTGGCGCCACATTTCAGATGCAATGTGGCAGGAGTGATATCAGCATGCCACATCCCAGAGTCAAGTGCTCCCTGCCTCCCTGGCGCCACATACCTAGATATAGTGCGGCAGACCCATTGCATCTTGTATGTGGCGCAGGAGAGGCAGGGAGCACTCGACTCTGGGATGTGGCAGCCTCATATCACTCCTGCCCATTGCGTCTGACTTTGTAGACATATCATTGTACGTACGAGATTATGTACATAAGACGATAGAATACTACCCCTGCCTTGAAGCAGCCCCATGATTATATCATCGGTTAGCATTTCAGATACTTGACATAAGAGGGCAACTTATGCATATGTCACACGTGTAGCTCCCTGAATGATGCACGTGCTTTATTATTCAATTAGACCCATGATAGCAATGTCAAACTGGCTTCGAGTCAATTCAGTGCATCGGATCAGCAGATCGGTTGAGAATGGTGTCATCTAGAACCAGAGCTAAGGTACCATGGTTTCCGATGCACCCCATATGTGCCAATTGCTTGAACATTCATTATAACACATCCTCTGAGATGGACTTCACCCACTTCCTCATTCCACACCATGCCAGCAGTAGACTCATATCACACCCACACCATTGTTTTTGGGGAGTCGAGCTCAGTCAACCCTGGAGCAATCACACCTGTGGGTCCACCGGCGACCTCCTTGGCAGCCATGCTCATCATAGGGACATCCGACACATCTTCAAGTCATGATGTCTGGAGTTTTGACAATTTATAGGGTCAAAACAGAAATAGGTTTCAAACTTGTAAAAATATATCTTTTGGTGGGCTGGTACATATCATGGAGGGTACTTCTGTGATGGATATGAGCCAACAATTAAGAAAATCGGCGGTTCGGTTGTGGAGATATGTCCAAAATACTGATATTTGAGCCCACCTCCCATATCACATGAATGCCGACCTCCGGAGGGTCTGGGACCATTCCCAATCGATTCAGAGGCCTCAAATACCCTAGGAGAGATGTTTTCAGTATCGGTATTGAGGCGGAACACCGGGATAGTGACATATAGGAGGTCAGGAGGAGGGGGAGGACCTTGTATATCTCAGGAACACGATTTTTCCGGGCAATTCTGGCATGACCATCGTGTTCAGAGGGCTCAATAACCCCCAGGAAAAATGCTTCTGAAGGACAGGCTAGTCATATGAAGTCTAGAAAAATCGATCTTTGGGTGGGGGAGCATGGCCTTGGTGGCCAACTTATAGGGTCAAAACAGAAATAGGTTTCAAACTTGTAAAAAAATATCTTTTGGTGGGCTGGTACATATCATGGAGGGTACTTCTGGGATGGATATGAGCCAACAATTAAGAAAATCGGCGGTTCGGCTGTGGAGATATGTCCAAAATACTGATATTTGAGCCTACCTCCCATATCACATGAATGCCGACCTCCGGAAGGTCTGGGACCATTCCCAATCGATTCAGAGGCCTCGAATACCCTAGGAGAGATGTTTTCGGTATCGGTATTGAGGCGGAATACCGGGATAGTGACATACAGGAGGTCAGGAGGAGGGGGAGGACCCTGTATATCTCAGGAAGACGATTTTTCCAGGCAATTCTGGCATGACCATCGTGTTCAGAGGGCTCAATAACCCCCAGGAAAAATGCTTCTGAAGGACAGGCTAGTCATATGAAGTCTAGAAAAATCGATCTTTGGGTGGGGGAGCATGGCCTTGGTGGCCAACTTTGGAAGATGATTTTTAGAGCAAATTCCGGCTCGACCAACGTCTTCAGATGGTCAAATAACCTCAAGAACGAGTCCTAGCTAAAGCCGAGCAAGCCATATGAAGGCTGAAAAA